CCAACCCAAACTCTTCTCTGATTCTATGAAACCAGTACAAATACACACATGCAATTGGAGATGCACCATTTCAAATTCACTGTAGGATTGGTGTGATATGCAGGTAGAGTGTAAGGCTATTGACCATATTAGAAGCTGATAAACTATGCAAATATCTGACGTGATTTTCAGGCAATGATACACTGCACTATCCAAATTCCACTGTTACACTAATTGCACACATGAGCATTTCACAGATGATGGAGAGGGACTCACTAAACCTTGAAACTGTTCTTTCTTTTTCCTCTTCTTGTTTGCTACATTTCATCTCACACAACATCATGTTGTGAAAATGTGAGATCAAATATAGGGGAGAGTTTGCAGCATTGCAAATCAATGCATGGTAGTGACAGTCAATAAGATCTATGACTAAGGTTTAGTCTTCCTCTCTCTAGACTTGGCAAAGCAAATCAGCAATGCCAAGTGGACTACTTATACACCAAGCCAAAACAACAGCCTTTAGTGATGAAATTCTGTGAGAAACGCTTTTGATTTCAGTGAGTCCATGACAAAGCCTGTGGTACCTCACACTAACATTGCTTAATATTGTCAGAAAAATCACCAGCAAATCCATATAGTGATAATACCTTCTGCTGCTTCAGAGCAAGATAAATGAATCCTCGTCCACTCAGAGCTCGCACGTTCCTAGGGTCCTCCTTTAGGATGGCATTAAAATCAAAAATAGCAGTTTTCTTCTGACCAAGGCGCCCGTAACACTGAGCCCTGATGAGAAGGCAATCTTCAGCATAACCACCTGGAGGACAGAAATGCAGCCATGCTTACTTGAAAGATCTCAAGTCTACTGCTCTAAACCAGGGCGCAGTAAATCCCAGTGTATGCAGACTACTAAGCTCCACCGAAGGGCTTCAAAGCGGCTAAATGAAAATGATGCAGTACACCTACATGTTGTGTTACACTGACTCCAGCAATGAAAAGTAAGTACTGCTTTATTCAGAGCGGTGGCAAGTGTGGAATAAGAGGGGTGTGCTGGATAGGGACAAATGTGCTATGGTAAGGAACTGCAATCCACAAATGTGACTGGAAGAAGGATAAGGAGGGAGCTGGAGAGGACATCTAAGGATATCCATATGAAACCGTAGAAAAATTCCACTTTGCTTGAGGATGAAGTACAATGAGAGTAGTTAAGTGGTAGTTTATTTTTGTTGCCAGTGGAATTCCTGTTGCATACTATCAGTTCAGAGTTGAAAGGAAAAAAGAATCTGTGTCAGGTTTGTTTCCAAAACACAGTACTGAATCTTAACTGAAGTGTCCTGCTGAGGCTGTCAGAATTCTGTCAAAGAATGAGTTTTCACTGGTGAAGTCTTGAAAGTGTTTTCTGGTGTGTATTACAACGACAAGGCTACTCTGATGTTCTAGGTCTTGTGGCGTACGTGTCATGTCATTCTGCAGGGAAACGGTGAGTTGTGGTTCAGTGCTGCTGCTCAGGACTGGAGTTCAATGTTTAGCTTTGCTTCAAAATTCCTATCTAATCTCACAAAAAGCACTCCATTTCTTCATATGTCATCGTCTAGCTTGGGAAACACATCTTTCATGGCTGGTTGGGGTAATTTCAATGTGTTTGACACAGCCACAGAAACATGAATGGGGGACACAGACGAAGCAAAATTTGTTATGCTAACCTAATACCAATGTCAGCCTAAAAGCTTTCCCAGACAGCCAGCAGGCCCACCCACCAATGGGAATATGAATGCGAACCTGGTCTTTCTCTCTGTGACATAAAGCTAGCCATGTTTCTCACTTATGGACGGCTGACAGCAGAAACCAGTGTATCTTCGTACTTGCTCTATAGGCCACCAAGGAACAAGCAAGCCTGGACCGATAAAAAAGACGGGGCTGCAGTATGCGCGAAAAACTTTTTCAGGGTGTATATTCTCTACTAAGATGAATTTTTTAAAAAAAAAAGATCCTGTATGTTATAAATACAAGAACCACTTCTGGAAATAGCTAAAAAGATGCATATATATTTATATGTACAGAAAGAGAAAAAAAATTCTAACAGTGATTAACAGAAAGAAGGGCACTTTGCTGAGAGTAGTTGTATGGCTGCAATTTGATTTATAACTGTAACTGTCCTACTGTGACTCAACTCTAACTTTCCAGACAGGAACAGGAACCACGCTGTGCCAGGCACACCAAAAACACAGGCCGTGCTTCAAGGAGTCTTCAGTCTAGTTAAACATGCCAAAATAACATTGTGATAAAAACCTGAACGAGTGGAAAAGGTAACAAGAAAAGTCATAAAATCACATTGCCCGACTAGCTCAAAAGCTTCCTCATTTCTAGTAAAAACATGTTGATCAACACTGTCTCCCCTCAGCTATCCATTGACGGCTTTTCTCATTGCCTCAAGGTCTCCTCAGGAACAGCCAAAGTAAGGAAAAGGAGTGGCCTGCAATTACTAAACACTCAACCTGCCCACACAGGCAATTTTTTTTCTCTACCTTCTCTGGGATACCTAGACTCAGCCATCTGACAGTAGAGAGAAATTCTGTGTTTGCCAGTTATCATGAAACTACTTCTATCCATTTTTGAGGAGGTCTGGAAAGCTTTGGCCTTTGTTATTCTGGTCTAAGGTTTTCCATGCATTTTCATGGGGAACCTCTAAAAGAGAGCATTGTGATGCTGCTCTGGAAAACAGCAAAAGGAAGATGAGGCTATAGTAAAATGGAATGTCTTGATATCTCCTCATCTATCCCTCTACCACACCCTTCTCCAAAGACATCGTTAATGTGCAACAAATAGAGGCAACCTACCAATGACATGACCACCCTCAGGATCTGAGCTGGATTAGGATCCAATTCATTAGAAGCAATCCCTGGAGATTTTAGTATCACAGAATAGGAGCAGCACAAATGAGAGAAAAAAGGCCTAAGAGGAAGATAGGTGAGAATGGAGGCACAAGGCCATTTGGCTGTTTTAATAGAGTGGAGTCAGAAGGTATACATTGTTTTGGATAAAACGGTAATCCAGACAGGACTGACTGATTTACTGTCACTCTTAATATGCACTGTGATTTGTGATACTAAGATTCTTTTTCCTCTGCTTTCAAATAAGTGCTGCCCAAATAAACACATATAGCTGACAATGAAATTCATTCATTGGTTGCAGAGCATATATCTTTCTGCTGTCCACATGCTCCTTCCTTTCAAGGCAATTTTGATAAGGATCTTAATTTGCCGAGGGTTGCAATCAATAACTGTGGTAGACCAATACTGGATGATAAATCATCAGTGTCACTGTAACTATTTTTTCCTAGGGAGGTCAGCACATGCAGCCTCTTGCACAGTTGCCTGCAGAGATGAGCCAGCAGACAGGCTCCTAGCAATTCTTTTACAGTAATGAAGCTTTTTCTCCCTCCTGATACACTCCAAAACTTCTGTACCAAAGGTTATTATCGCTCTGGAGCTCTATCAATTGGCTCCCATAAAGACAATATCTATTTCTTAACAAGCATCTGTTCTAGCAGGTGGGGAGTTGATAAGCTGGAATGCATGGGCTGTGAAACGGAACCATCTCAAAGCAATTAACAGGTTTGTTGCCATTTTCATAAACCAGTCTCGCTGCTTCTCAGTGCTGCTGTCATAATATTTGCTCAGAGTGAAAGGCAGATTTCCATACAAACATGGTTTTACTTGGAACATGCCAGAAGCATTTCCATGTTAGCCTGATCTCTCTCGTTAGGAAAAGCTAGGATAATGATGCAGGTAAGTGGCTGCATTAGTCTCTTGCACTGGAACTATGCTTTTGTTGGTCTGTTGGAAGAAGAAAGGTTGTTTGCTGCAATGACTATATTTACAACATGTTCACTCTGAGGAAACAGGAGGTACCAAATAAATTTCATTGGTAGGAAAGTTTTCAGGGTACTAACTGACGTAACAAACAGGCTGAAATGGGAGCCTTCTACTTCTACACTGTCTGAAATGGGCTGAAGCTGGCTCTGTTTCAGTATTCAATCTGTTTTCCAAATTACTTACCAGCTAGCACCTCCTCTAAAAGTTACACGAAACAAATAGGATGAAGGCTGCTGCTTTCTTCTGAAAGGGGGGTTTCCTTTAGCTAGATGATTTTGTGAAGTGCCCCCCATTCACACTCTTTCAAGGACTAACTGCTTATAGGGAGCACGTTTGCCTCTCATTTATCACAAGTTTGGCTTTGATCTCTTTAAGAAACAATTATACTGTATTTTCAAAGAAGCTCTCATCTCTTTCTAGATCAAGCTAAATTTTCTGGGGAAACATTTCCAAAAACATGGTCATCCAACCTAGCAGTTGGATAACAGGATCAAAAATCCCTGGCTTTGCTTGACATTACCAGGCCTCAGGCTTACCTCAGTCACCTGTGTGCGGAGTTACTTACTGAAAAATCATGTTTTATAGACGGAAGAGTAATCCTGTAGGATTTCCTTGAGGCTCTTCCCCGTATTTTGAGCATGTATCTGTTGCTGTGATAAAACAGCCTCCCTACATGAGGTACAGAAGAATCACCCTGCTATTCTGCTTTGCCTTTACCACTGGAAGAACAGCATTACACTGCTTATCCTAAAGCGGTCTTTCTTTAAACCACAGTGAAGAAGGAAAGCATGGCATGTAAAAGGGAAAATAATCTAACAGCTTTGAGAAGATAGCACTGCTAATATTAAAACATGTAGTCTGTTCAACAGCACAGCTGTACTTTTGAGAAAATCTGTGACCATACGTATGAAAAAAATTATGGTTACAGATCAATTTGTCCAGACCAGCTACTCAGAAGCAACCTACAGCAATGGAACAGTAATTGCTGTCTGCTGTTTGGTAGCAGGTATTCCATAAAGAGAGACTGTAAAGTGTAAAGAAGACATATATTGTGTTTCCTGTAAGCTCTGCACATTACATTTCTGGAGCAGGAAAAACAGAAATTATTAGATCAGAAATTTCCAACCATCAGCTGGAAATAGATGGGTTCAAAATGTCAAAGATCTTTTCCAAGTTAGGAAGGAATTGTGGATTCTTTGTATCGATATGACGCAGTTAGGGTGGTTTATGCCTGAATTTAACTTTTAGCATGTGAACAATGCAATTTAAAATAATCCTCAGCGGTGCTCCAGGAGAGTTTCATGTGCTAAACAACAGAACAAAATCACATGTTAGGTCTTCTGGACAGGTGAAGAAAAGGTGCCGATGACCCTGTAGGACTGAACTGAACCCTTGCAACTCATTTCAAGGAGATCACAAGCTACTTATGGGACAGCAAGAACTGCAGTCACTGTTTAACTGCACTATTTCATTGTCCAGATGAGTTGCTGCTTTAAAGAAATTTTATCCATCTCTTCACCTGCCTTTGTAAGTCTACTGTTTCAATCCTCTCATTGGGGAATGGCAGATGAGAATTGGTTGGACATGCTTGCCCACCCACTGATCTGATTTCCCCCAGAAGTAAATCTCCTATCAGTATCGTGATAACCCTACCTGAAGCAATGATGGCAAAGGAAAGGTAGGCAATGGCCTCTTTGATGTCAGCATCCTCCTGTTTGTTCTTCAAGATGGTCAGCGCTCTGGAATGGCAGTGAGTTTGCATCAACTTCCGGTCTTCGTCTTTGAAAATGTCCATGATTGGCAGGAGGCAAGAGGTATCTCCAATTCTGATCATTTTCTTTAGCAGCTTAATAATGTGAGAGAAAAAAGCAAAAAAGATTGACATGAAAAGATAAATGAAGTCACGCTAAAGCTGGAAATATTAGTCTGATGAGACAAGTATGCTCTTACCCTGTGCTTCCCCACATTTCACTAGGGCTTCAGCCAGCCACAGTCCAGCCAAGGACCATGAATCTCTTTTACTTAACTCCTCAGCTGGCCCTAGTGTAAATGCATGTTGGAGAAAACATTACTTCTTATCTTTTGTCACCAGCACTGCAGCTGTGGAAATCATTCTGGGGAAATACTAATGCTGCTTTGCTCACTTTGGGCAGCATCTGTTCCAGACTGGCAGTTCACTGTTTTTAGAAATACAGCAGAACCATAGGATGATTGCCCCAAAGAGAGAAAGCTTCTGTGGAACAGAAGGATTCCAGTGACCCCTTTTGACTGTAAAATGGAAACTAGTGAATTAATGGAAAATAGTGAAGTGCTATGCCTTTCTATTAGTATTGCTATTGGGAATCTGGGAAAAGTATGGATTCAAATCCACAAACTACTGTCCTCCTGGAAAAGAATCTTTCCTGACATAGGGTATCTTTGCCTCCATTCGCTACAGTGAGAATCACCAGGCACTTTTTTACTACATTTCCTAAGGAAAAGAATCAAAAGATGTTTCCTCCAGTAAAGCAAATGTGCTTAGCACGTACTCGGCATTGAAAGCTGAGCCAGAGAAGCCAGGACAAGAACAAAGCTGTCTTGATGCACCAGACACATCCATTGAGCTCATTACTTTCTATATTTTTATTAATAGATACAAGTGTCTGGGTGCTGACAGGCAGGTGGGACAAAAACATTTTGAAGAGAAATTTTGGTGACACGTATGTTCCCTCTAGAACTTGCAGCAGAAGCTGCAGACAGGAATCCAACTTCCACATATGGACTCTAATAAAGTCATGTCATTCGTTAATAGCCTTCCCAAAGGCAGAAAATCAGACAAAATTTGTTTTTCATAGGGAGTAGGGAAGTGGTGACAATAAAACCTTTCTTTTTTTCTGGCTAGTAGAATTTATATGGATTTTTAAAAAATGCAATAGTTCCCTCTGATGGCAGAACCTGGTAATTCAGCTTTGTACACCTTGGCAGGAGAATCGACGTGTTGGAATCTCTTTCATGGTTTCAAGCACAAGTCATTAGCCGCTACAGGAAGAAAACTGCAGACTGATATTTGAGCTCCTGGTTTTCCTTCCCTGCCTCCCCACCCCCCGCCCCAATGCTTCATTAGGATAATCGGTTAGGCAGTAGTTCTGCTTTCTTTTCTCTAGGGCAAAATTAACAATCCCATCAATGTTGTCACCAGGGGCAGGATGCTCAGTCATGCTCTGCCTAGTTGAAGTCTCTGATGAAAAGTGCCATTCCATAGCATGTGATGAATGGGCTGTATTTAGCTAGGGCCTTGTGTGGGCCGTGCTCCAGACAGAAAGTCCTACTCATGAGGCCCGTATTTACCAGTTTACCACCACTCCTGAGAAATCTTGAAGCACAGGTTGGGGTAGGTGCACCCCCACTGCAAAACCCGTCGCGGTTTGTGTGATGGGGGGAGTTCTAACTTTGCACCATGTGATGAGGTGGCCTCACAGTGCCAGAGCCTTACAGTTGTCATGTAACACTGAGGAGCAGGAGACAAGCGGACCACTGTGCTGGGAAACAGAAAGCCCTTGGGATACTCGCTGGCAAGCCTACGTCTCTGAAGTGGTCCCTCTTAAGTTCTACCATGCATCTTCCATATCAGCCAAAAGGGTTGCTAACCCTCTTCACCGTACCATCACTGATGACTCCTTCATTCTCTCTGCTAGCCAGGTGCTTCTTACCTGGTTGCCATCATACACGAAATCTTTCTTCAATTGCAGAAGAGCGAGTCTAGCCAGGATGGGAGACCTTTGTGGATTTCCTGAGAGCGCTACTAGGAGGAGCTTGTGGGCTTCTTCCACACAGCCCATCTGGTACAGGGCATCAGCACAAAGGATCCGCGATGCTTCATCAGAAGCGTCCAGCTCCACCAAGAGAGAAGCCAGATGGTAAACGCCAGGGGCACCTCTGGAGGGAAAAAAGGAAAAAGGGAAAGACTACCTTCAAGGGAAAAATACTAATGACAGTAACAGAGCCTGTTAATTTTACCTGGAAGCTAAGCAGCAGGTTTTTAGTCTATCCAGCACCATAGATATCTCTGCCACTTAATTCCATAATAATAATCCCTCTTTATAAAAACATGTTCTTAAGCAGTTGTTCCTTACAAAAAAGGTTAACAAATAATGACTCATATCTGTCATTGCAGCTGATACCACAATGGGAAAAGGAAAAAGTAACGGTGAAGAAAAAAATAAAAAAAGGTCACCATTTCTAATCAAGAGCTGTGTATTAAAATTTGCATGGACTCAGAAGAACTGTGTTAACAGGTAGCTTCTTACTCCAGAAGCAGTGACCTGTGTCTAAGGGGGCTTGTGCTTTGTGCCCTGCTCTGCCAGTGCAACACTTAAACTAGTTAGCATGTTTTTCTGTCCCTCAAGTTATACCACTGCAGTACAGGCCCCAAGTACTGGGTGTGGAATGCGTATCATGCAACTGCAGAAAAAAGCCATAATGGTACTAAATAAATGTGAGTATCAGTTGTAAAGAGCAGCCACTTGAGATGAACTCTCATGTGCTGTTTCCCATTTCAAATTTTCAAGTTTTTGCCTGAAATATTAGTATTTCACATGAGGAAAAACTGAGAAAGTAACATAAAAATTCAGTTTTGGAGAAAATGGAAGACTTTTCCTGGGGTTGTATCAGACAAAAATTTGAAAATGAAACACTGAAACTTTTAGATTTAGTTAGTAGCTTGTTTTGTGTTGGAAGAAATAAAAAACTAATAAAGATACTACTTTGAGTAGCAGTCTTTTCTGATCTTTAGAAAGATGATTTTAAGTATTAAAACCTCGGAGTCCCTCTGTTATACCATGTTCTACCTTCAAACTCAGGTTTTAATGGATTTAGCTGGAATAGTTTGGTGTTCCTGTCTCACATCTCCGAACCTTAAATATGACATTAATACAGTTAGCATTGAAAAAAGAATTTGGATTGCCAGCACCAAGTGTGTGCATAGTAGCACCTCAGCTCCGTCTTGGAAGGACACTTTCTAGGGGCTTGGTTCTTCATGGCCCACCAAATCCTTCAGTTCAGAACTGAAAGTGAAAGGAGCCAGCTAGCACCAAAAAATCCGTTTCATTATGGGTGTATCTACTTCTTTAGAGGAGAAATCTCTGTCATATTCCCTCTAGCATTTTGCGCACTCCTAGCTTAGCCCAATTGGTATATCACAGCTTAACTTCCAAAGGAAGATTGAGCTGATCTGGCTACATGGATCCCAAAATACTATTTGGTGGAATAACCACAACTATGCAGTTTTATTTCTACCTGTTATGTTAATGAGGAACTTTAAAAGGGTTTATAGCCTATTCTCCGTTATCTGAAGCAAGTACTCTGCTACTCAAGCTGCTCTCTTTCTGTTAGGAATCTGCACAGCCCCGTTTCTTTTTCTGCCCATGGGCTGAACTGCCTCCTGGGTACCTCTTCTTCTGGAGCATCTTCTGTCCTTCTTCTTGGAGAACTTTTAGCAGCAGTCCTCTTTGGTTCCATGGCACATAGGACTTGATTGTGAAGATGGTTTCTTCCAGCTTTAACTGGCAAGCTGTGATATAATCCAGGGCTGTCAAGTAATGGCTGCCACCAGAAATCCGGGTAAGTCCACGCCCACATAAGGCTTTAATACAGCTGTTAGGATGTGGGGAATCGTGCTCAATGACCTTTTGAAAGTCCTGCAGGGCTTGCCGATGGTCATGAGCATGGAGGGAGCAGAATCCTCGCAATGATAAGAGAGTATTGTAGTAAGTTTTCTGCTCTGCTGCCAAGAGGTGGTCACAGATATCCAGGGCAGTTCTGACGTGCCCACACAGGAGATGGCAGTCTGCTAGCCGAACACTGAGCTCACGTTTGGACCCTGGGGAGATCTGAAGGAGGAACTGGACTGTCTGGATGACAGAAGGGAGCAGTTCAGTACCACGATTGCCTCTGAGTTCAATCCGAGTACGCACGGCCTCCCTGTACGCTGCAAACTTCACCTCCAGGACAGTTCTAGCTTGTTCTTCTATCCTCTCAGTGTCATGTGGTGAGAAAAGCTCTTCAAAGTGTTTCATTGCCTGGGCAGGGGTTGCTGCGAAGGCTTCTGCTAAATCCTGCATCATTTCCTGCATCCGTCCATCCAAGAAGAAATATGCAGCAGCCCGTTCCAAGAGCAGACCCAAAGCTTTCTCGTCTCTGAGATTATCATCAGCTGAGAAGCCCTTGAGGGCCTTGCTACAAACTGCCACACACTCCTCAAATTTGCTTTTCTTAAAGAGGTAAGCTGCCTGCACCCTGCAAACCCAGACATCATTCGGTGCCACTGCAGACAGGAAGTCATAGCAGTTGCCCAGCCATTGGTCCCAGGAACTGCAGCCTGGGCTTTCGTTCTGGTGTGTGGAGAGATAATTAGAGAAGGCCTGGATGACCCGTGGCAGGTGTTCCCTTTGCCTAGCACTCACATAGGCCACTGCCTCAGCACGATGCGTCACAAAGGCCTGGATATAGTCCGCAAGTGCCCTCCTAACTTGTGTCCCTGCCAGCACCCATGCCAGCGCCCTCAGCAGCAGCAGTTCCATTGAATAGTTTGGGTTAGCCTTGAGCAGGGTATTGCATTTACTCACCACCTCCTCTGAGCATCCTTGCCTGAGCAGGGTCTCCAGTTTATATACTGAGGATACCACATTGTCGGGACTTAGGGTGGAGAGAAAGATGGCAGCTATTCCCACACTGAGGGAGACAACTGCCAAGTTCTTGCTCTGGATCTTGGGAATCTGATTCTTGCCTTTGCACCACATCTCCAGGGTGGTTACCACTTTCTCCCAGAGCCCTTTGTCTAAGGAGTTCACTTTCTGTACTGCTGTGGGAGCACTGCAGCTGAAGGCAGCTGTGTAGAATGCAGTGGCTACTGGTAACTCCTGCTGGGTGAGATGGTGGTCCCCTTCTTTGCAGAGCAGTGCAGCAAGCTCCTGAGGTGACATTTTCTGCACTTGTATCCTCACCGAGCAGCCGTCGCACACATAATGTGGCTGGTGCCTGTGGAACAAAAAACCAGCATTGTGAGGGGCTGTGAAGCACATTTCTGGGTGCTTGGCAGCAGCTTTACAACTGATAGCCACAAGCGAGCCTAGGTCCTGTGGAAAAGCCACTGTTTTGTCACCGACAGGCTTCCCAGGGAGCAAAGCCATAAGAAGAAACTCTACAGAGGTTCTTAGTCCACAGCCATGTAAAACTGGCCAGAAAGCAACCACACAACTTTGTCAGCATTCCTTTCCCCATTGACTGCTCAGGACATGGGGCTGGGGGCCCACCGGGCTTTGTCCTCCCTGGCCGAGATGTCAGTTTGATAGATTTGTAATGATCAGACAGCACGTCAGAGCTGCTGGTGGACAAGGAGGCGGCAGAATAGCACTGTGATACTTTGCCCACCACTTGCCTGTCCTCCTTTGCCTTGGAGAGGCAGGAAAGGGAAAATTTGCACCTTCTCCCTGTTTCCACCTCAGGAGTCAGTGGAAAAGATGCGGTTTAGCGCAAGGCCCCGAGCTCCAGAGCCCCTCCCTCAGCCCCGCACACCTGGGGTCAATCCGTCCCGGTGAGGGGCCCTCAGGAGCCCGGGAGATGCCCGGCGGGGCGCGGCTGCGCGCCGGGCGCTGCTACC